TCACGTATTATACTATATCAACGATTGGTTGATCCTAGCTCAATCTGAGCATATGGCAGTTCGGCATCGAGATATCGTTCTGTCTCATTTAAAGATGTTGGGGTTGCCGCTCAACGCCAAGAAGAGTGTGCTCCTCCCAGCTCAGAGGGCCACTTTTCTTGGTGTAATATGGGATTCGACAATGATGCGGGTACGATTGTCTCCAGCACGTATTTCTGCGATTCTCACAGCCGTAAATGGGGTATATCTAGGCCAGTCACTCACAGTGAAACAGTTTCAGACTGGGGGTCTCATGGCAGCTGCGTCCAATGTAATTACTTTTGGCCTTCTGTACATGAGACCTGCAGTGGATGCTCAGGACCAAGGGGTTTTCTCCGAGGGGAAATTGCCCTATGTGGTTCTCCCTCACGCATCCAGCTCCGCTTGGACTGGATGTGATGTATTAGGTGTGGTTGACGCTACACCTGTACGCATTTCCCGATATCTTTGCTCCCGGGAGTTTCTGGGATACAATATTTCACCCTCATCTGGAGTTATGGATACTGTGGGCTCGGCCTCTGAGGGGGCCCAGCTCATAGATTCAGGACTCTTGACCGAGGTCGTGGAGACCATACTCCAGTCTAGAGCTCCCTCCACGAGAAGACTAAATATGCATTGATATGAAACCTGTTCTCTGCCTGGTGCAGAGAACGCCTTCTGAATCTTGTTTCTGCCCTGTTGGTACAGTACTTGATTTCTGTAATGAATGTTTCTTTGCTGGGTTATCTCTGAGGAGAGATCCTTAAATTTGTCTTCTCCATGGTACATGAGGCTGGGGCATGAGTCATTTGTTGAATGAAACACTTGATACTGTGGATGCATAGATAGTACGGAGTAGTAGGAGAAACAACAGCAGAATTGCTATATCCTTGATCCACAGCCAGGGTTTACCTAACAAGTTTCCGAACCATGAAGAATTATCTTCAGTCATCTGGTGTAATTTTGCTGAAAGATCTTGTTGGATTTTGATGGAAGTTCTCTGTTGGATCCATTAACCCGGTGCAGCACTCAGGGCCGATAATGGTGCAGGCTCCCCTTGTATTGCAAGAATGTAATCCAAGGCCACTCTGTTCTATAAGATTATTATCTTGTGTTAAGCGAGAGTGTCTGTGATGTTACCCAGGGGCAAAGCCGTATCATTGGCCAATTTCTGTACAGAATTCGATAAGCTTCTGACTTGATCAAGCGCCTGTATGACACCATAAGACGAGATTAATGCTCCAAGAGTTCTTGACCACCATGTTTGTGCACAAGTTAGTCCTGGAATGCAGCCATCTTTTTTGTTTGTGGTAGGAGCTGAATTTTGTAGATGTAGAGGGAGATGAGGTGTGCCCCCCATGTGATTCCTGCTCCTACTGAAGGCTGGTGTGGCATGCAAACGTTTTTTTCCAGCAAACAAGGCGTTTCTTGACATATTCATCAGCTCTAAGAATGTGTTGTTTCTGGAGTCTACACTTTGTGCGATGTCCATGATGGTTACTGATATGGCAATCTTGTTCATGTTGATGGATGACTGAAGTTCCCGTGCGTGAGTCTCTGATCAGTGAGGTAAGGATGGACTAGTTGATGGGGAAGGCCTATGAGAGAGTCTTCACCGCAGGGTTGGCCCCCGAAGCCTGTTGCATTCGGTTCTTCCCTAGGCTCCTCACTGGTCCGTGTCCTATCCTATCCCTGTAGGTGGGGGAACAACTATACAGTGTGACACAGGAGTCCAGGTTTTCCTTTTCTGACACAACACTGCAGCTGCTGTACATGTAACACATCTCTTGACTGTTTCGGTGGCTATCTTTCTGAATTTTCGATTCCACCATTTTTTTTGAGAACCTGTGATTCATTGTTGCCGGACCACTGTGACCCAAATTGTATATTTGTTGAGCCAAATATGGCAGCAGTGATTCGGGAGCGACATACTTTCCCCCTTTGGTTGAGCAGCTGGATGAATCCATGGTGGCTCCTTTGTCTAATCATGTCCATGCTTCATATAGAGGAACGTCTTTGTACAGATCAATGATTGATTCAGGAGGCAGAATGGTCTTCTGTGCTGTACTACCTGAACACACTTGTACAGTCGCATAGGAACAAGCCTGTTTAGCCGCTACATCAGTAAGAGCATTACCTTTAGCTTCCGTAGTATTAGTTGTAAGATGTGCTTTCACTTTGATCTCCGCTAATTTATTTGGAAGTTTCATGGCAAACATTAGATCTTTCACTAATCCAGCATGCTTAATGGGGGATCCAGCAGAAGTTAGAAACTGTCTGCTTTGCCAAATGACACCAAAATCATGAATTACCCCAAAAGCATACCTGGAATCTGTGTAGATATTTGAAACCGATCCTGAAGCTAGTGTGCATGCTCTAGTTAAGGCTACTAGTTCTGCAGCTTGAGCTGAGAAATGATCTGGAAGACGACCTGAAGCTACCACTTGGTAGTGGTAGTGGTGGACGTTACTGTATAACCTGCTCGTCTGTTACCTTCAAGGACTTGAGCTGAACCATCAACAAATAACTCAAATTCTGAATTCTCTATGGGAGTTTCTGTTACTTTACTCGTAGGTGTGTATGTAAGCGTAAGGGAACCTAGGTGGTTGGTGGTAATTTTCCCATTCAAACAAGTTGCCATTGTCAGCACAGGCACTCCGAAGTCCGTGTGCTCGAAATGGACGACACAAGCTGCTTATTCTAATGGTGACGTGGACGTTTTCCAAAATCTCAGGTAAGAGGGCCAAATTGCCCACAGGCTCTGTACGGACGCCTCTGGGGGTGCCAGTGCACTGTGAGGCGGGCCACCAAGTGCTTATGGAGCCCCCTAACTGCCTATTCTTCACCATAGTCCTCCTCAGTACCACAAAGTGCCTATTTTGACCCCTAACCACCTAAACTTCACCGAAGTGCCTATTGAGCCCCCTAACCACCTAAATTTCACCATAGTCTTCCTCTTTCTCCACAAAGTGCCTATTTTGACCCCTAACCACCTAAACTTAACCTCAGTGCCACGAAGTGCCTGCTGTGCCCACTAACCACCTAAACTTCACCATAGTCTTCCTCATTGTCCACGAAGTGCCTATTCTGACCCCTAACCACCTGTCCTCTTCCTCAGTGCCACGAAGTGCCTGTTGTGCCCCCTTACCACCTAAACTTCACCATAGTATCCCTCATTGTCCACAAAGTGCCTATTCTGACCCCTAAACACCTGCCCTCTTCCTCAGTGCCACGAAGTGCCTGTTGTGCCCCCTAACCACCTAAACTTTACCATAGTCTTCCTCATTCTCCACAAAGTGCCTATTCTGATCCCTAACCACCTGTGCCTTCATCACATACACCGACTGTCTGGGCATGACCACAGTGACACGTGCAACTTATTCCATGCGATTTCACAGGTACTTTGTGGACGGTGCTCCGATTGCGCCGTAATTGATGTATGCGTCCCGTCATGGGCCCCTGGGACGATCCCCAGAGTTCCGTGTCCACGTCTGCTCCTTTGGCTGAAAAAGGCACCCTTGACCTGGCACTTGGGCGGTCGGAAAAACAGGGGTCAAAAGGTCGCAGTGACTCCAAATTTGGCACTGTGGTTGTCCAGGGGCCCCTGGTTCTAGATCCTGGATCGCAGGGTTCTAGATCGGTTCCAAGTATGTCTTTTTGCAGTGCAAAGTTCTCCTCACTTTGGTTCAGTTTGACCTTTCAAGAGGGTATGTCTGTCTATGAGTGGAAGAGGCCTGTGCGGAAACTTAAACAAAGCAGGCAAAAAAATGTCCCCTGCGTTCTAGAGACTTGTCCTCCTAATATGTCGTTCGGGGGCCCGAGAACAACCAGCACACCGAGTTTGGGGCCCGAATAGGGGCCCCTGACACGTGCAACTTATACCATTCATTTTCACAGGTGTTTCGTGGACGGTGTCCGATCGGCCCGAAATTGACATATATGTCCCGTCACGGGCCCCTGGGACGGTCCCCAGTGTCCCGTGTCACCGTCTGCTCGTTTGGCTGAAAAAGGCCCCCTTGATCTGGAAGCGCCTGTGAAGTTTGAATTGAAAAAAGTTGAACGTGGGCGGTCAGAAATACAGGGGGTCAAAAGGTTGCAGCGGTTTTGGCATCGTGGTAGTCCAGGTGTGTCCGCAGTGTCTCAGCCCAGTGTCTCAGCCCAGTGTCTCAGCCCAGTGTCTCAGCCCAGTGTCTCAGCCCAGTGTCTCAGCCCGGTGGTAATGGTTTGCGCATCTGTGCTGCTGCACTCTTAATCCACTCCTCGTGTTTTGCTTATCAGCTCGCACACAGCAGCTATGTAGGCATATTTTAATTTGTTTAATTTTCTACTAAATAGATACATTTACTTTATAGACATCTTTGTCTGAAATCTCCATTATACTGTCGGTTTGCTCTGTTGTCAGTGTGTCTTTGTCTTGACACAAACACTGTACACATTCTGCGAGGTATCGGTTTTATGTATCGAAGCATTGTAGAGTGCGAGTACACGAGCGGGCCAATACGATACTGGTATTGAGTCAATTTTGCATTTAATAATAATGGATATCCTCAAAGTCTCTGCAGACTCTGATGGAGTGTGTGTGTTTGCAGACTCTGATGGAGTGTGTGTGTTTGCAGACTCTGATGGAGTGTGTGTGTTTGCAGACTCTGATGGAGAGTGTGTGTTTGCAGACTCTGATGGAGAGTGTGTGTTTGCAGACTCTGATGGAGAGTGTGTGTTTGCAGACTCTGATGGAGAGTGTGTGTTTGCAGACTCTGATGGAGAGTGTGTGTTTGCAGACTCTGATGGAGAGTGTGTGTTTGCAGACTCTGATGGAGTGTGTGTGTTTGCAGACTCTGATGGAGAGTGTGTGTTTGCAAGTGTGTGTTTGCAGACTCTGATGGAGTGTCTTGTGTTTGCAGACTCTGATGGAGAGTGTGTGTTTGCAGACTCTGATGGAGAGTGTGTGTTTGCAGACTCTGATGGAGAGTGTGTGTTTGCAGACTCTGAGGTCACACTAGTGTGGGAGAAGCAGCCGACTGCAGACGAGGAGCAGAGAGCCAGACGCCTGAAGCTGCCGCCCACCTTCCTCTGCGGCGTCAGCAGCGACTCCGACTCCGAGCGACCCGGCGACTTCAGCGCAGAGCTACACACACTGCAGCACGCTCAGGTCAGAGGACTTTCTGCACACTGACATGAGACGTGATTAGCAGCACTGGTTTGACTCATGTGTTGTGTTCTGGACACACAGGTGAAGCCGAAGCCTTCCCATGATGCAGCAGCGGAAGAGCCTCCCGTGGACGGCAGCATTGACCCCATTGACCTCTCCACGAAGAGGAGCAGCAAGAGCGAGTCCAGCTCCACTGCAGGTACACATGTCCTCCTCACTTCTACAGCAGCGCTGCCCTGGACACACTCCAGTTTAACGTCTAGTGACTGTAAGAGCAGAGCAGCAGAGGGCGTTTACCTGGCGTATTAGAGCTATGACCTGGATTTATAATGAAGGATTATATAAGAAGGAATGAGACGTGAAAAAACCATCTCCAGACTTTAGCCTTCTGATCTAAACACTGATAACTGAAAGGAGACACGCCTGTGATTGGCTGACACCTTTGCATATGAAATGAGTAGTACATGTTCTAAAAACTACATTTCTACTCTTCCAGCTGCAGAGATGATCTGCTGTGAAAGGTGTTGATTACAGCATTAGATTTAGATCTTCTCATGTTGCATAAAAGAGAGCCAATCACAGTGATGTCTGCTGAACTCTGACAAATGCTTTCATCATAACACACAGTGCAACACGATATAAATAAGAGATTCGTCTTTCAGCGTAGACGGTCATTGATTATAACGAGAGAGCAGATCTCACTGAATGAAAACACTGACACGACGATAAGACAATGTAAAACAATTACTACTTTGGTTCAGGTAAATGTAAGTTAAGTGTTTGAAACCAAAAATAAGGAACATTTGTTTTATTAGAATTGGATGCAGTTTCTTTCCTCAGTGTAGAAATGATAAAACATCATTGAAACCATGATACCAGTTGAACCAGTCTCTTCTCTATAATACACCATCATCTGTAAGCCCTAATCAGACAGTATATGTTTTATACGGGGAGGTGGGCTAATATAATAATTTCCACCGCTCTTCTAACATGTGGGAATGAAGTCCAGCCCGGGGTCAGAGAGTGAAGGGCAGGGACGTTCATTCAAACACAAGCAGCATTTGCCGTTGGTATCGTCTGACGTCTTTGCTCTTCTCCAGCAGGTCTTCCTTTTGCATTTGAGAGTCTGCTTTCATTTGCAGAATTGGCAAAGACTTCAGGACAATCTGCTTTTGGCAAAAAAGGTGAGTGTTCTGTTTACATCTTAACCAGCGTTTAACCCGTGTGTCTGACTGAGTCATTAGATTTTATTTTTCATAATAAAGAGTGCAGTCAAATTCACAATTCTTTCTGTTGAGTTTTGTAACGGCTGAGTGAAAAATTATAAAATTATGATGGGGGGAAAACTATTTCTTAGTGAGAATGATAAATCTAGCGTGAAGGTGTAGTGCCAGCCAGAGCACAGGAGAGAGAGGGACACACACACCGTCTAAGGTTTCTGGGTGTTTTCTGGCTGTGTCTGTGTGAACTGCTGCTGTTCTGCTGAGGCTATGGAGGGATATTTTAATTTGTTTAATATTCTACTAAATAGATACTTTTACTTTATAGTCATCTTTGTCTGATATCTCCATTATACTGTCTGTTTGCTCTGTTGTCAGTGTGTCTTTGTCTTGACACAAACACTGTACACACTCTGCGAGGTATCGGTTTTATGTATCGAAGCATTGTAGAGTGTGAGTACACGAGCGGCCCAATACGATACTGGTATTGAGTCATTTTTGCATTTAATAATAATGGATTCCCCCAAAGGCTGTATTTTCTGATTGTCATCCTAGCCCTAGTATGTAATTGTGCTGGACACTAAAAGCATTTTGTGTTTTTATAAGCCATTCATGTGTTTGTACACACTGCTGCTGTCAGTATTGCTGTTGGCAGTGTGATGTTTTTATTGTTTTCACACGCACGTTTATTTCTGTAGATGGAGATTTTGCGTGGTCAAACGCCGGCGCCACGGTCTTTGGTAGTGCACCAGCGCGAGAGGTGAGTGTGTGTGTGTGTGTGTGTGTGTGTGTGTGTGTGTGTGAGGTTAATCCAGCTCTTACGAAAAAAAAGTATACTTCAAGTTCATTTTATGAAGTATACTTAAGTAATGTTCAAGTATATTTTTAAGTATACTTTATGTAGTAAGTATACTAATGTCAATATGTACTAGTAGTAAACTTGTAAGTGTACTATTTTAATACCGCTTGGGACTAAATTGGCCCACTTGTAGTATATAAAAGTATGTTTAAGTGTACTAGAAGTGTAACAGTAGTAAACATTAAGTGCACAACTAGTTCATAATTACGTTTCTCATTTGTACTGCAAGTGAACTTATGGGTATACTAGTAGTTTACTATTTTAATACTTTTTAGTAAATTTTTAGTTTATGAAAGTACACTTTGAAGTATACTCTCGGTAAACGACTAGTTTAGTAGTTCTATACTGCAAGTTTTCTTTTAGTGTACTCTCAGTAAGCTACTAGTTTACTAGTTTTGTACTACAAGTTTTCTTTAAGTGAACTTAACATCATACTTATAGTTTACTGTTTATATATTATTTTTGCACTTGCAGGAGGCCTACTACTATGTTCAAATGTTATTTTTTTATACTTGGAGATACTTTATACTTTTTATACTTACTTTAAAAAAAAACATTTAATTAGCTTCATGCATCCTTTATCAACACTTGAATGTTGGTAAGTTTCATAAAGAAAGGCAACATTTTAAACAAAAAAGTTGAGAAAATCTCATTTGTGTCAAAGACTACGCCTTGATCAGATTCAGAACGATGATGAAGACACAGATGGAGTAGATCGAGTCCAACACCCCCAAAGCCTCAGTCGCTTTCTCTTCATGGGTTACGCTTCATTTCATTTGGAAACATTAAGCAGTTTTGATTCACACGCAGTTTAACGTTATTTTACATTTGAGTGAGCAATCTTCTATCACTTGTTTCAGCTTCTTCTTCTCCTGTGTTTTGATCCGGATATTCTTTATTAGAAGATGTGTCATAGCGCCCCCTACCGTATAACAGTGAAAACATGGATAGCTGGAAAATTCAGTCGGAAAGAGTAAAGTAGAATTAAAGTAAATTCCAATGTACACTACCAGTGGACTAGCCTACACAAAAATTCAGAGATGCAGAATTAGAAACATATCTGTTTTATATCAATATTTTAATCAATATTTTCAAACATAAGTTTCATAAGACTGTATATGAAAAACTATGTAAAAAAAAGAGTATATTTAATAGGCTACTCGATCAAAAGAGTCAACCCACTGCAAGCCAAGTATACTTTGAATACTTAATTATACTTTTAAGTATATCTCGATCAAAAGATTGAGTACAAGTACAGGCCAAATATACTTGGACTTTTCTCTCAGTATAAGTCAAGTACACTTAAGTGTAATTTGTAGTATATTTAAGTACATAAAGTATATTTTTGAGAAGTATATAAAATGTAGACTGAAAGTATGCTTTCTTAGTTTTAGTTGAAAACAAGTGTACTAATAGAACACTTGAATAAACGTATTTTTCGTAAGGGTAATTATCATCGCTGTACAAGATCAGGTTCAGGTCTATGCTTATTTTATTTACTCTAAGATATTCCACCCGGAAGCTTGTTACTATATAAACTTGAACATGTTAGTTTATAAAACAGTGTGTAATATTATGTTTTTAAAAAAGTATTTAATAAGCTACTCAATCAAAATAGTAAGCACAAGTACAAGCCAAGAATACTTAATTATTCTTAAGTATAGGCCAAATATACTTGGACTTTTCTGTCAGTATAAGTCTAGTAGACTTAAGTGCAATTTGAAGTATATTTCTGAGAAGTATATAAAATGTAGACTGAAAGTATACTTTCTTATTTTTAGTTTAAAAGAAGTATGGTTTCGTTCAGCGCGTCTGAAGATCTTAAAATCTAAATCACACATTTTAAAAGAATATAATTTATCATTTTGTCTCATCCCTTTTCTTAAAAATGTTTGAGGTTTAACGGGAGGGCGGTCCATCTACGGAGGGAAGTTTGAGGACGAGAACTTCGACGTGAGGCACACGGGCCCGGGACTGCTGTCCATGGCCAACCGCGGCAGAGACACCAACACCTCGCAGTTCTTCATCACACTCAAGAAAGCAGAACACCTGGACTTCAAGCACGTGGCTTTCGGCTTCGTCAAAGAAGGCATGGATGTGGTGAAGAGAATAGCAGAGCTGGGCAGTAAGGACGGCAAACCCACTAAAGCCATCACCGTCTCAGACTGTGGACAGTTGTAAACTTTTCTACGTTTGGCAAACTTCTGTTCATGTGGGAAATGATGTTTACTGAACTTTTGTGTCTCTCCTTTTTCTCTCTCTACTTCTTGGGTATGACCTACATGAAATTGACCATAAATGCATTGATTAAAGGGGTTAGTTCACCCAAAAATTAAAATTATCTCATTACTCACCCTCATGTCGTTTCTAACCCGCAAGACCTTCGTTCATCTTCAGAACACAAATGAAGATATTTTTGATGAAATCTGATTGCTATTGGGTGGGGGGTGGGGGGTGGGGGGGCATTGACAGCTAATTAATTAAATAATCAGCCCTTTGAAGGCCCAGAAAGGTAGGAAAGACATCGTTAAAATAGTCCATGTAACTACAGTGGTTCAACCTTAATTTTATGAAGTGACGAGAATACTTTTTGTGCGCCAAAAAAACAAAATATTGACTTTATTCAGTCATTTCTTCTCTTCTGTGTCACTCTCTGACGCGCGTTCACGAGAGCACCGCGACGCCATCGGATTTCATCAAAAATATCTTCATTTGTGTTCCGAAGATGAACGAAGGTCTTACGGGTTAAGTTCAGTAATAATTAAGTTTTGGGTGAACTAACCCTTTAAATATCAAAGCACAATATATATTTTTTTGTTCACAATTGTGAATTTAAATAAGCAAGTACATCATAAATCCATCTTCCATAAGGCAAGCCTATTACGTGTATATATTTATATTTATATTTATATTTTAGACCTGTCGGGATAGATTGTTTTTTCTTGGGGCCTCAAAACAAAAAAATCTAATCACATTTAAAAAATCACATTCATTTCATGAGATTTTCCCTCCACTGTTAATTGTTTTACTTCAATGAAAGAACGGATCTTTGGAACTTTTGGAATGAATGATAAAAAAGATAAAATAAAATAAATAAGCAAAATTATTTTCCTTTTAATCTTTCATTCAAAATATTCACAAAAAAATCTACCTTTAAATTAAGTATATTTGAAAAGAAAAGAGAAAATAGTTTTTTATGCAAACCGTGTCACTTATTCGCACCTTTAGAAATTCTTATGAGTAAAAATCAAACTATATAGTGCTATATATATTTAGTTTAACAGTGATTTAGTACAGTGAAGTGGTAAACTATGATGAACTCTAATACTGAGTAAAAAACTGGCCAAATGCCTGTATCATCCATCACTATAGGAAAGAGTAGAGAATACAGTGTTGAAGCAATTTAATATGTTCTATATGTGCATTTTCTTATATTCATAGTAATTAGATTAAGGTAGTAAAATGCACAAGGATTGCATGTGGAGTCTCATGATTCTCTGTTACATTGATGGAACAAAGAACTATTAACCCTTATCTGTGTGTGTGTGTGTGTGTGTGTGTGTGTGTGTGTGTGTGTGTGTGTGTGTGTGTGTGTGTGTGTGTGTGTGTGTGTGTGTATGACCTTGTATACGTGACTTGACAAAAAGTAAAAAGGGGCCTTTTACACATTAGAAGTAGGATGCAACAACCTGTTAGTTATGGACATGTTCATGATGAGGGAGTCAAATATAAAGAAGAAAGGATGCCCTCCCTTCTCTGTCACACTCTGCAGACACTCTTTATGACTGTCGACCTTTTCTTGAAAGAAAATAAATAACCTTTAAAGACAATTAGCCTTTCGCCGAGCCCCGCCCCCCTTAGTTACTGTTGCTACGCCCGTCAAACAAATGGTCAAACACGACCAGCGCGACAGATTGCCATGACGGCAAAGGGTATTCCCGAGCGTGTCAGTGACCTCTTTTGGAGTAATACATCGGCGATATCATCCAGATCGAGGCAAAAGGGGTTACAGTATGCGGTGGAGGGATATATTCAAAATATAAAAATAAAAAAAGAAGGAGACACGACTACTATTGAGGCTAATGCTTACCGGTCTCAAGCTAAATCAGAAAAACCCCATGACCTGTACCTCAGATGCAACCTGCACAGCCTTGTGGACCAGTCATGCTCTTGCACTGCCGGGTAAGTTTCTCTTTCATATGTTATGGTCTATTATTGTTTATTGCTAGCAAGCAGCTATTTTGTTAAAATACAAGGGTGTTTAGCTAGCTAAACCTACATGTGCGTCAAAGTCATTCAAAGCTAACTAACATTTCCCTGTTGTTTTTGTTTATGAACAGAATTAACAAATAGGAAATTGCTTTGACTTAAAAGGTGCATTACAGATAATATAATTAATTAAAATGAAATATATAAAACAAAATATAAGGCATTTAGATATCCATTTTTTAAAATAATATTATCTATTATGCACCTTTAACTAAGCCAAAGCTATTTCCAAGTTGTGAATTATGTAATATAAAACATTCTGATTCTGAAAACAGCTAATACTAATAACATAACTATTGACATTAAAAACTAATGCTACTTCTGTAATTCTTCTTAATTTAGTTCACCGGGGTTTTGCTCTCATATTGTGGGCCTGATGCACACACTGGACCTGTGCCGTGCCAAAAGTGATGACATCTCCTCCACAAGCCAGCCCCAGCAATGGCACAAAGCCAGGGGTAAAAAAATTATTGGACAACCTGTGAGTAGTGTGGTGGCAGCTAAGGCCAAAGTCAACCGCAAGCGGAAACCCATCATGTCCAGCTACATCCATAATAAGTACGTCCCCCGCCGCCCCCCCCCCCCCACCCACACATCAACACCATTATGTACCATCACACTGTTCTGAATATAATTCTGTGTCCTGTCACATGATAATACTCACCAGCATGTATTGTTATAGGAAAGAGTTAGGGAAAGGAGTACATGGTCTACTTAGGGAGATGACTGATTCACTTATAAGCTACATAGCTGATGAAGCTGCACCAGAGGTAGAAATTGAAGGCAGGAAATATGCATTGGGGTGCGGTCTAAGCCACCAGGTAAGATGAACAATCAAAGATGTAAACAAACCAGTCAGAATCAATAGTAGCCTTACTGTTGTTGTAGAAAAGATTTTTCCTCACAGGTTTATTGGAATTTCAGTAAAATCATGAAGTTACAGTTTTAAATGGTTTTACAATGTGAAACAAACAAACAAACAAAACATTGGCCTGACATATTATAAACAGACACAAAAACACATTAAACAAAGATTGAACCACATAGTATCCAGAAATCTGTTTATAGGACTGAACTATTGCAGGCTTACAAAATGCAGTAAAAATACACAAAAACAGTTAAAACATTTGTAATATATGATGTAGCAATACTTTTCAATCACGTTTTCATGCTTTGCTACTAATGTCCCTGACTGACTCTTACTTTAGTATGTGTGGCTGAAAGTTTGAAAGCATGCTCACCACGTACCAGATGTGATTTATAATTCCTAACCGTGTATTAGGAATTTTGCCTGACACTATCTTGAACTTTTTTATTTTAGCGATGGCCCTCTCTACATGCACCCTGTGCTTTGCAATGCGCTTTGTCGCCAGCACATCCCCAGTTGGCATTTGCCTCTTAGACCTTGAAAACGGTGGCAGGTTTAACTTCAGTCCAAGTGCCTTCATCTCTTCCTCGATTAAAAAGCCCTTATCAGCCATAATTCCATCCCCTCTTTGCAAATAGCCATTGTCTATAAGTTTTTCTAGTAGCGGGAGGATTCCACACTGCCTGACTATCTCCTTGTCTGACATTGCTCCTGTAAACAGGGCAGATGAAAAAATCACAGCACCACGGGGGTCACAGGCAACTAGTGATTTTAGTGTGTTTGTACTTTTGTAGTTTGAATAGCTCTGGCTTTGCAACACCAGTGATGTTGGCCTTTCCATTTTTAGCTCTGTGCAGTCTAATATTGCAAATGTGTTCAGGTAGTCTACTTTGTAAGTTTCTGGCATGTTTTGTCTTATGATGTCTCTGTGAGGCCAAATTGGTAATTCACCTAATACATCAAACATATAATGAATCCAAGAATTGAAAATATTACTTGCTGCTTGCATGTTTATATTAAATCTGAAGGCAAGGCTTTTTAAGTCTTCGTTGTTGCGGAGTTTCATTAAAACAAACAGCAACTGGGTACGGAGGGGCATCTCTGCTATTTGCCAATCATTGTGCTTGTAGTTTAGGGGTACATTTATTTGATTGGTGTGTGGATCATTTGGAATATCAAATATTGTGCACAGTTGATTGAATCGTTCATATGTAAACCCTGTACTGTATTCCAACATCTTGTGGATTTCACTGCTTTGAAGAAGTTCAGGTGTTAGTGTTTTATTTTTAAATGTGCCAATTTGTGCTTTAAGACTTTTTAATTCAGTTTCTTGTAAAGACAATTGCAATTTAATTTTGCTGTTTTCTGCTTCCAATTCCTTCTCAGTGCTCTGACAGGACTGCTCTTCCTCAGGCTCCCTTTCCAGCTGGCATTCAGGAAGTGGGGGGTGCTCAGGAACCTCTGTACAGAAAAATATGTTTGCACATTAATGATTATAATTTATTGTTCTCACCTTTTACAGCTGCCACTGGTTAATCAAATTGGAGAGCCTTGTGTTGACCCTGGAGCAGCTACAGTTAGACAACCAGATGACCTACCCAACTTTCCCCTGCCATCCCAACCTACCAGCTTCTGCACAGTGCTGAATGAAAGTGCCATGCATCGTTACACAGAACTGAGCATTTCTTTGCCTGATTCTATAGCTCTGGAACAGGAGACCAGAGAACAGAGCACAAACAAATTATGGTTTAACGCAAGGTCTGGGCGAATCACATCAACTTCTTTTAAACGGATCTGTTCTAGGAGAGCTGACCATGAAAAACTAGCCAAAAGTTTAAAGAGTGCAGGATCAGTTCAAACTAAGGCCATGAAAAGAGGCATCGAACAAGAGCCTATAGCAGCGGTACATTACACCAAGCTCACCGGTCATCAAGTGTATTCATGTGGTTTTGTTGTAAATCCCAATGCCCCACACCTTGGTACGTCACCTGACCATAAGGTTATAGAGAGAGGGAGTGAAAGCTCAAACTACGGGCTTTTAGAAATTAAGTGCCCTTCCAAGAATAGCTTCACAGAGTGTCCCTA